TTAAGTCTACTAAACACGAATCTGACCGTGTTAAAAAACCTGTAACGAACAAAAATAAATCTACGGATTGTGCTAAAGAATCTACGAAACAAATATGCACCAAAGGACCACAAACTAAAAAGTCTCCAAACAAATTTAAGTCTACTACATACGTCTTAATATATATGCACCAAAGATAATAAGTGTGCACAATAAGTCTACTACACCACATACAAACCAAATTCCATACAAAAATCTACCGTTTTTTCTAATAAATCTACACCTCATCTAATAAATGTGCACAACAAATTAAGTCTACAACATACGAATCTGACCGTGTAAACAAATATGCAGCGAACAAAAATAAATCTACCGATTCTGTTCAAAAATCTACGAAACAAATCTGTATCAAAAGACCACAAACTAAAAAGTCTGCACACAAATTTAAGTCTATTACATACGTCTTAATATCTCTGTACCAAAGATAATAAGTCTGCACAATAAGTCTACTACACCTTGTTTTCAATATTATTCGGATAAAAGTCTACTACACCCATAATAACTCTACAACAAATACATTTATTATTTTAGTCTACCAAAAACGCGGTGACAATATAGTAAATTAGTGTCTCAATAAAATAAAAAGTAATACCAGTTTTGTAATTAGTTTTTTTTTTCTTATCAAATTATATAGAGGTAATTTTGGTATGAAAAACAATATAGTAATTTTTTTTATTGTAGGTTAGTTAAATAATAAATTTGTAGTTTTGGGCTATTATAGTTATATTCTCCCATTGATTAATAATGGAAGACCAAAGACTTTTCATCTTTGAATCCAACTATGTATAAATAGTACTTACTGCCTCCTACTGCCTCCTTGCTTCATTATTTCACAAACCAGCAACAAAGCATAATAAAGAAATGATAAGAATGGTACTTAAGTTTGTCGTAATGGTGATAGTATGTGCACAAATCTTAGCTCCAATCGCTGAAGCTGCTCAAGGAAAAGCTGTCTTTTACGATCCTCCCTACACTCGTGCGTATATACATATACTTCTTCTGTATTAAATTAGATGATTTTTAAGAGAAATTTTTTTATTTCAAATTAAATAATTTTTTCAGTTTTTAATGCAAAATTAAATGTATTTTTTTTTAGTTTGACTATTTATATTGTGCAGTTTGATTTACTATTAGTTGAACTGTATTTAATTTAATGATAAATGATGTTTTTATTTGTAAAAAACTAAAGATTTAAAATTTTTCTTAATTTATGTGATAAATCCTTAAAAATCATCTATTGTGATACATAGTGAGTATAATATATAGAATTGTGTTGTTTGTATTTTGGTTTGGCTTTTTCGAGTTTGGGATTATTCATATTTAAGAAAAGTGTCAAATTTTTTTTTTTTTTTGGTTTGAATGTTTTGGTTCAGTTTAATTCGGTATCAGTTCGGTTTTGTAATTAAATAATCAATGATCGATTATGAAAATCCAGAACATCATTCTTAACGAAACTAAAGGAGTAGTATTTTGTAATTCTAGTAAGTTGAAATGTGTTTTATTGATAGATAATCAATTAGAAATCAAATTAGAATCAATTTTAGTGTATTTGTTTCGGTCTAAGTTTGTTCCGGTTTAATTGGTATATAAAAAGGTCTTAACCTTTTAGACTGGCAAATTCGGTTGATGAA